AAGCATTCACATCAGCTTCAACTCACTGAGTTGTTATGGATGAGAGAACTACCCTAGATGACTTCTTTATGGACCAGGACAGATTCTGCTACACCTGTATTAATGTCTCAGGCCAAGGAGATAAAAGTATGGAATGAGGGAAAGAGAGAAGAAAACATGTAATGTCCTGCTACAGTAATACGTATCGAATTGAAGTCGTAATTTTAAAATACATATCTACATCTACATACACAAGCACATCCCCACAGAACCATATCTCTTAGCTTTGTCCACTAAAAAGGCCTCAAAGCAATGACACTACCTCAGCAGTAAAGTGTACATGTAGCTAAGCTTTTGCTTTCTAAATATCATTTTCTACTAAGAGGAACCAGGGCTCCTTGAAAACACTGCTGATTACATTTCCATGGCAGAGAACATACAAAGTAAGCTTAGAATATCTTGTGCTAGAAAGCAGACTAAAGGAGATATGCCATGATATGGGAGTTGGTTCCCACTGGTCAAATTTAGGACAATTTGAACCTGAAGAATAATCCTAGTAATGGATTAGGGAATGAAAGGAATCTTTCGGTTGGAATACTCAAAACAAAAGGTAAGTGAGGTTGGCAAAGCTTACCTTTACAGAAGAATGACAACTAATTAATGTAGAAGAAATGACAGAATTTGAAAATCTCCATTTCACGATCACTAATGTAATATCAAGTTCAGGCAAAGATTATCAATGAATGCTACAAGTGCTGGGTAAAACATTACTTCTGAGAAACAGGATATTCACATGATCACCCTGAATCCTTCCTCCCAAGCCACTTATCTCCCCAAATACTTAATACAAGTGAAAACAATATCCTTGTACAGTGGAGAGATCTGACAACCATCACCCTAATCAAGTGATCAATCTCAGCACTGGTATATGAACAAGCTAATATTATGGGCCTCCTAATAATATACCATAAGAGGTATTCCAACTAACCAATATCGTACTCTTCCCTTGAATATAATCATGAAGAAACAATCAGACAAATCCAGAGCAAGGGACACCATAAAAGGCAAGTAACTTGGACTCCTCAGGGAAAAAAAGAAAAGTCAACATCATTAAAACACAGACTTTTTTTTTAAGTGTGGAAATGTTATAGATTAAAAGAAAGAGGTGCAACAATCAAATGTAACAGATGAACCTCGAATGGATCTCACATGGCATGTGGGTAGGGGAAGGAAATAAAAGACATTTTGGAGACAAATGTAAAATTTAAATATAAACTACATAGTAAGATTTTATCATTGAACTAATACTAATTTACTTAAAAGTTATAATGGTGTTCTAATTATAGAAGAATAGCTTTAGTCGGGCACGGTGGCTCACACCTGTAATCCCAGCACTTTGGGAGGCTAAGGCAGGCAGATCACGAGGTCAGGAGTTCAAGACAAGCTGGCCAACATGGTAAAACCCCATCTCTACTAAAAATACAAAAAAAAAATTAGTGGGGCATGGTGGCAGGTGCCTGTACTCCCAGCTACTTGGGAGGCTGAGGCAGAAGAATCACCTGAACCAGGGAGGCGGAGGTAGCAGTGAGCCATGATCGCGCCACTGCACTCCAGCCTGGGTGACACAGCAAGACTGTCTCTTTAAAACACACACACACACACACACACACACACACACACACACACACACACAAAACAGTCTTAAACTCAAGAGATGTATTACTGAAGTATTTAGGGACAATATTCCATGATGTATGTAACTCATAGGTAGTTTTTTGCTAATATTTGACTGAATTTTTTTTACCTATACTTAGAGCAAAACGCAAAGTGGCAAAACATTAATAATTAGTGAATCTTTGTAAAGGCTAGCACAGGTGTCCACTGTACTACTTCCAATTTTCTATAAGATTGAAATTAAAAAGAAGAAGAGACTACAGCTGGACTTTAAATGGAAAAAATATAGAACATAGAAAAGAATTCAAGGAATGCTACAATGTCACATACATAATGAATGTTTGTTGTAAACAGTAAAAAAAAATGTTGGGATTATCCTGTCTGAAGAAGAGAAACAGAAAGTTAACACAGTGAAGTTACATCATATGCCTTCAATATAAAATATAAGAAAATTAAACTACATAGCTCAGCAGTAACTTGAGGGCATGATTTATACCAAACTGGTCATGATTCACTCAAGAACGAAACATGTCTCATGTTAGCCAAACCAGAAAAAGAACATGTGAACGGCATGACAGTTCCCCAGTCTTGACAAAGAGGTGAAATACCTTGTTCACATAGTCAAGTAAATAAAGGAAACTTAAAAATGAAGGGCCATGAAGAAATATTATCAAAGGTAACAGGAAATTATAAGGGTTGTAGTACCAAACCCAAATAAAGTAATATACTTACAAGCGCTTTAAGTGATATACAAGGGTAATTTTATCTATACCCAAGTTTCACCTTGTCTGTTAATTTCACACTCTAAACCCATGAGAGGTGTGACCTCTCTGTAATGAAACAAAAGGGTGATACGCTCTTCTCCACATGATTTTAGCCAGCTGTATTCAATTCACCAGTCCCCATCATGAGACACACCCCTGAATGAAAGCTTTTCATATTCATACGAGTTTAGGATATGCTGGCAGAGGGATCACTGCCGTAAAACACTAATAATCTTGGTTAGGAACACAAAAACAAGATACAATTACAGTTTACAGAATAGGGACAATAATGAACATGTGCACTTAAGAAAAGCATTAAATTCTAATAGCTCTGGAGTCACAAATCCCAACCCTGAACAGCTATTAGCTGTGTGACTTTAGAAAAATTATAACCTCTCAGCTTTAACATTCTCATCTATAAAACGAGTTTTGTTCATATCTAACTCTCACAATGAGAATCACATAAGATTATATATATATATATCTATATATATACTGTATGTATAAATGACTTAACATAGTGTCCCCAATAGTTCACACAAAATAAACAATAATTTTATTTTGTTGGGGCAGAATGGATGTTGGTTAATATCTAATATATCAATATAATAAGTTATTCATCATTCTTCTCAAAATATTTTTTAATTTACCAATTTTTCATTTAACTGGAGTCCAGTTATATATTAATCTTCAACACATCACCAAAACTTTTGTTATACAAGCAACTTGCTTGATTCCACACCAGTTTTTTTATTTCCCTTCCACTGAATTTTCTTCTTAAGCCTCCTGATCCATAGTAATATCTTTCGATGAGGATATTTCGTTCTGAGAATTTGTAATAAACCCTGGAAGAGATGAGCAATTTTGTAGAAGAATACATCTAAAAGAGATAGCAATTATGAAGAATATTCCCTACAGTATAATTTGATTTTTAAAAAAGTTTGGAGTTAACACTTAAGGGAGGTGAGAATTATATCGAGTAGTCTTAATTAACAACTTTATTTGGCCGAGGAGTTTGATGTTAGCACTGAGGGAGGTGAGAATTGAATTCCAAAATTTGTGAATAAACTGACTGTGTGAAGGAAGAGCAGAATTATCTGCTAAAAGGGCTTACAAGGAAGCCAACAGCTCATTCACCAGCCTTTAAGCAAGGAAAATCAACTGAAGAATCTAAATGCAAGCTAACTCTAGAAGAAAATTTCACTTTTTTTTTAAAAGAAAAGAAAAAAGCAAGGAAGTCTCACAAAGGAAAGTCCTATGATTTTTAAATTGTAACTATGAACTCTTCAAACATCCTATACAATTATAAAGATTACGGCAGTGTTACAGAAGAAGTACATGACACAGAAGGACTCAGGAGGAGTAATTCAGGTGAGGAAAAAAAAAAAAAAAAGATGGCCGCAAATGACAGGGTGCCTTTCTCAGTGCATCTACAACTCCCTCTGAGGCTTCATTTATTACTCAGAAATATAATTTGAATAGTTTTTCTTGAAAAATATTTGTGGAAACTCCTCTTTGCCTTTTCATCTTAGTTGTCACCCTGAGATCTCTTTGGTCCGCTCTGCCCACTATCATATGGATTACAGAGCTCTCCTGGCTCAGTAACAATAGATCTCAAGACCACTTCTCTACCACAGTTACTTAACAGATGCCCCTTTGAAATTCACATCATTCTATAATACAACCCAGATGTCCTTTAACAAATGAATAGTTAAATAAACTGCAGTACATCCATATAATGGAATATTATTCAGTAATTTGAAAAATTAATTATTGAGAAATATAACAACTTGGACTTTTTTTTAGGGAATTACGGCAAATTTTTAAAAGCCAAACCCAAAAGGTCACATACTATATAATTCCATTTACATAAGATTCTTGAAATGACAAAATTATAGAAATGGAGAACAGATTAGTGATTGCCAGAGGTCAGAGGTCAAATTCGACAGGTAAGAAGTACAACGGAGGGTGGGTGTGACTTTAAATGGCAAGAAGTATTCCTGCAGTAATAGAGCTGTTCCACATTGTCTGCATCAACGCCAATACCCTACTTGTGAATTTGTACTATAGTTTTATAACAGGTTACCACTGGAGGAAACTGGGTAAAAGATGTGTACCTACAATTATCTCAAAATAAAAATTTCCATTTAAAAAAGTGTTCGTTGCATACTTTTGGACAAGTATTTATACTTTACTTATGCTATACCTATGCTAGGTAAAAGTGAGTGCTATTAAAAATTAAAAATTGATTATATTTAAGGGGGCTACTTCATTAAGCATAGCTATAACTGAATGACCTACAAGGTAACCTGCAGAATATAAACATGATAAAGCAGTTTTATGACTATATGTGCAACGGGTCAATGAATATTTTACATGCCCACAATAAAAGAATATTAGCCTATCCATATCATTTTCTAAAATACAATGATTTTTCAGCTTATTTTTAAATGCACATAGTTATATTTGACTATTAAACAACTGTTTAATTATCTTACATATATTTATCTTCAAATGAACATTAAAAATACATATGTAAACCATGGATAATAGTTTTTAATATTTTTTAAAGACATAAATTACCTGCACACAGAACACTGCCGCTGAGGCTGAAGAGCAGTGAACATAACAATCATGGAATAGTTTCGAGGTGGTGCCTTTATAAATTTTCGGAATTTATCACCATTCATTCGGAAGATTGAGCGTCTGGAACTCCATTCCATCAGCTGCTCTACTTTTTCAGCTAAAAGATTCTGCAATTAAACACAGAAATTTACATTTACAAAGAGTTAAAGTCCTTTTGTTTGAATTTCATATAAATGCATAAAATGTTTTTTCTTTTTCCTAATGATATCCAAGTTTATAGAAAAGTAAGACCATATTTCTGCTCCCAGAAAGATAGAAAAAACATTTATTTTTCTAATGTTGGGTTTTCTTTTGGCCTTATATATCCCACACCAGTTGACAGAGAAGTCAGCAATCCAAGAACGCCAATAGGGGCAGACATTAAAAAAAAAAAAAAAAAAAAGGCTCAAGAAAAGTTAGCTCTTGCTATCCAAAAGCCAAAGAAAGGGGAAGCCCAGTAAAACAAAATAATAACTACTCTACTCTTCTCCAGCCAAACATCACAGCAAAAGGAAAACAAAACAACAAAAACTACCATCTCACAACCACCCCCACAAATACAAAGCTGAAACTATACACAAAAGAGTGTTGTATGATTCTACTTAAAGTCAAAAATAGGAAAAACCGATCCACTCTGGTAAAAGTCAGTATGGCGACTAGTCTGGGAGGCACAGTAACTGGGAGACGGCACAGGTGGAGCTGGGCTACTAGTAATATTCTGTTCCTAGGGAAGTTTGGGAGGAGATAGCACTGTAGCTTCTGTATAAAAGGCTCTTACAGGCTGGGAATGGTGGCTCACACCTCTAATCCTAGCACTTTGGAAGACCAAGGTGGGAAGATCACTTGAGCCCAAGGAGTTCAAGATAAGCTTGGGCAACATAGCAAGACCCTGTCTCTACCAAAAAAAAAAAAAGGCTCTTATCTTTAGATCATTCATTTTACCTGAACAAGTCTAAGAAGTTAACAACTCTACAACATTGTGTTCCTGCAAGAAAAAGAAATTCCCTGCCATTTTAAAACCAGTGGTCAGGAGAGAGAGGCTTGAACTGTGCCATTTAACCAAGCTCTCCTCTAGAAATCAGAGAGAAAAGCAATCTCTTTCCCCTCTCCTCTCAAGTGAAAAAGGAAAAGTGGCTCACAGAGACTGGGCAGATACACACCAAGGAGAGAGAAGGCAAGGTGGACATCTTACCCTGAGTTAAGGTAAAAGACTTGTTGCAGTGCTCTGCACCCACCTGAACAGGAAAGAAGATAAATGGAAAGAAATGGAAGGGAGGAAGGAAGCGAAAGTAACTTGGCCAAAGAGCATAGTAACCGGCAGAGACAGAACATTCAGATATGCATGCATGCTAACTGTATGAAAAAGAAAAATAAGTTAATGACTCGGCTGTGTTTGTTTTTTTAAAAGACACAATTTTGCCACAACCAAAGGGCATCAACTGAAATTGATCTTAACCTCAAAACAGATTACTTGCATTTAGATTTATATATAAATATATATATTTATATATAACTTATATAGATAAATCTATATATATATTTGCAGTCTGGGTTAAATATATATATAGCTTTGGAAATGTACTTTATATATATTACATATTCTTACATATATTTATATTTTATATATATATATTTCCAAAGTAAAATAATAACATTAAACTGAAAATGAAAACTTACTTCTCTGCCTCATCAATATACCTAAAACAGTAGAAAATGACACAGAAGGACTTCTCCTAATTGTTCTTAGTTTTAATTTTGAGAAGCAAAGTAAGGTTGTTTTCCATGTTAAGGATAATTTAATAGTGTTTGCTTTACAGAAAACTGTTATATATTTAATAAGATTTAAAGCCTCCAATATTTACCAATACATGCAATGAACTAACTCACTATATAAATTCTTTTGAGCCTTGAAAACATTTTAAAGTAATAAGATAAAAACTATATGAATATTTGTTTTTTAAATATTTAGAGACTGTGACCCTCTATGAAAAGAGAGGAAATCAGGCAGGGTAATCCACTAATGAGTGTAGAAGAGAATTGGTCTAAGAAAGTTACTTACCTATGAGTTACCTCAGTATTTTATACTTTTCTCATTAAATACATGCACAACACACTCTCACACACAGACATACACCACACACACTCTTTTAATACTCTTTGAATTTCTACAATAATCTTACTGTTTTTCTTATTTAAAAATCCCATTTATACCAATTATCTATCTATGAAAACAGTAAATAACTGTAAAGGGTCAAAGATTTCACTTTACTTTTAAGTAATCAAAGAAGCCAGCCCCAGTTTCATGGATGCTGAAAGGAATGAGATTTCTGAGTCTGGTACTCCTGTTTCCCATGCTTCCCACCTTCAATGTAGTATGAAACTCATTTACGAGGCTGATCACAAATGAAAATTCCTCACAGAGGAGTATTTCTTATTTAAGCAACAAAGGACTAGGTAAGTTACAAGTGCCTTTAAAAAACAAACAAAACACAAGAATGCATACTCTTAACTTGGCTTAACTGAACTCCTTTTTGTACTACACTTCTAGTTATCATACTATATTCCTTCAGAATTAGGCAAATATAAATGTCATTTTTCTAAATATTAAGAACCACTGTGCTACAGATTTCAGGGCACACAGTCATGTTTAATATTAAAAAATCAATGTAAAATATAACTTTTACACAATCACATCTTGAAAAATGTAGAATTCCAACTATATGTAATTTTCCCATTACAAATATTCTGGAAAAAACTTTTAAAGAAAATGCCTATTAGTCTCATCATTTTGCATCAATCTTGACAAATTGGTACTTTTCCATTATCGTGACTACACTTCCTTAGAAACACTGTATCAGTGTGAAATTCTAACACTATCTGCAATCTATTAATATATTACAGTGTGAGATTCACTATACCCTCACCAGATTAGGATATTCATTCTTATTTTCTATATCTCTTTATGGTATACACATATGCACACACACTTCCAAATTAATCAAAAATGGCATCCTATTTTAATTTGCAGTTTGTTTGTTTCTTTGTTTCTGAAACAGTCTCCCTCTGTTACCCAGGCTGGAGTGCAATGGTGCAATCTCAGCAAACTGCAACCTCCACCTCCAGGGTTCAAGGGATTCTCATGCCTGAGCCTTGCACTGTTATTTCTGGCAAAATTCAGCCATTTTTTCACAATTCTGAATGCTCTAATTTTCTTTGTTACTAATTTTTTTCACCTCCTTTATCCTTGATCTATTCATAAATATAATCTGTCCTATACAAGAGATTAAAAAGTATACAGAATAGGCCAGGCACGGTGGCTCACAACTGTAATCCCAACACTTTGGGAGGCTGAGGCAGGCAGATCACGAGGTCAGGAGATCAAGACCATCCTGGCTAACATCTCTACTGAAAAAACAAACAAACAAAAAATACAAAAAATTAGCCGGACGTGGTGGCAGGTGCCTGTAGTCTCAGCTACTTGAGAGGCTGAGGCAGGAGAATGGCGTGAACCTGGGAGGCGGAGCTTGCAGTGAGCCAAGATCGCGCCACTGCACTCCAGCATGGGCGACAGAGCCAGACTCTGTCTCAAAAAAAAAAAAAAAGTACATGGAATAAAACTCTTTCCAGACTAATCAATGTTAAAACTAGCATAAAATTTTGTCACTTCTAAATTGTTTTCTTTTTGCTTATAGGGTAAACTAGGAAGAGCAGAGAGCAATTATAACCGAGAAAAGTAGCATTTTAAGAGCATATACTATATTTGATTACATTTTGTGAATTATTTTTCTTTTAAAAGTCTCAATCTATTACATGAAAAATATCAATTATTTAAAAGCTAGAAAAACAAATCCATGCTCTGGAACAGCAATAAATTTCAAATCATAGTGAAAGGAAGAACTGAAATCTCTCTCCTATTTTTAGTATCCCAACTGCCTGATTATTCAAACACATTTCTCCCTTAAACTAGACTAGAATATCCGTAAAATTCACGAAAAGATTTTTCTTTGAATTTTAAGTATCAAACAACTTGTAATAATTTCTTCCAAAACACAGCATATAGGATAATGGAAGCGTTCCGACTCGTGACTAGTGGTAGAGCCATGGCTGCATTTGCCAAAACCCACAGAAATACAGTCATGTATCGCATAGTGACATTAATCACTTAACAACAGACTCCATACACAAAGATGGTCCCAGAAGATTAGAATGGGGCTGAAAAATTCTTACCGTCTAATAATGATGGGTAGCCATGGTAACACTGCAGCACACTGCATTACTCCTGTGTTTGTGGTGATGCTGGTGTAAACAAACCTACTGGCTACCCAACATACGAAAACATAGCACATGCAATTACGTAGAGTATATAATACTTGATAATGACAAACAACTTTGCTACTGGTTTTGTGTATTTACTATACTTTTTATCTTTAGACTGTACTTCTTCTCATTTGTTTTCTAAAATTAACTGTAAAACAGCCTCAGGCAGGTCCTTTATGAGGTGTCCAGAAAAGAATGTTATCCTAGGAAATGACAGTTCCATAACTGTTATTGCAACTGAAGGCCCCCCAGTGGGACAAGATGTGGAGGTGGAAGATAGTGATATTGATAATCCTGACCCTGCATAGGCCTAGGCTAATGTATGTGTTTGTGTCTTAGTTTTCAACAATAAAGTATAAAGAAAAAAGTTTTAATCAGAAAAAAAGCCTATAGAATAAGGATATAAAGAAAATATTTTCGTACAGCTATAAAATGTGTTTGTATTTTAAGCTAACAGTTATTAGAAGAGTCACAAAGTTAAAAAAATTAAAAACTTTTTAAAAAAGTGATATAGGGTAAAGTTAATTGATTACTGAAGAAAAATTTTTCAATACAGCCTAAGCGTGCAGTGTTTAGAGAGTTTACAGTAGTGTACAGTAACATCCCAGGCCTTCACACTCACTCACCACTCACTGACTGATTCACCCAGAGCAACCTCCAAGCCTGAAAGTTCCATTCATGGACAGTGTGCTAGACAGGTGGACCATTTTTTATCTTTTATACTGTATTTTTACTGTACTATTTCTAAATTTAGACGTAGTCAGATACACAAATACATCTTATTGCATTACAACTGCCTACAATATTTAGT